ACCGGAAGAAATATGGTTGCGTTATCATCGGTGCACGAGTGAAATTTATTTGTTTAGGTTTCTAACGATCTATTGTTCGGCCGGGTTATCTGAACAACCATTTCAGCAACGGGCAGAGAACAAACCATTCGGCGTATTTTTTTTTCTTTTTTTTGTAATCTCTTCAAAACGAGAGAATTTTCGAAAACGAAACTTTTTCCAATTTTTTTCTTTCTTTCTTTTTTTCGGTGGTTTCGCGTGTAAAAAAGAACGTGTCGACGTTCTGTCCGGACGATTTTAATGAATCGTGCCAATACAAGCTGGTGGAAATTCGATGGAACGAAATACGGAAGGCGTTAATACGAATTCCGCGAATTGCTGGAAAATACAATTTTTCGTGTTGATAAAGTAGATCGGTTTAATCGTAACTTTTACATGGTAACTTAATATTGGGAAATTGTTTCTGCAGATACCGCAATATGGAGAATTTTACAACGTAACGTTTATGTTATTTTTATTCTTTCTTTGAAAAGAAGAAACTCATTTTTATTTTAATTGTCTAAGTATACCTTTTCTTTGAAAAGAAGAAACTCATTTTTATTTTAATTGTCTGAGTACATTTTTCCTTTAAAAGGCAGAAACTCACGTTTCCTTTGCAATTATTTATATTTTTTCTTTAAAAGGAAAAGCTTGATTTTCATAAGTTTCGCTGCAAAAGTGGTGTTGCCCGATCGCATCGAAAGATGCTCCAAGTGCAAAGGGTTAATCCTTTTATCTCAGGATTATTTTAATATCTTCGCGAATCGAAGTTGATGTAATAACTCGAGTAGCATAACAGATGAAGAACACAGTGATATCGTATGTAATTTTATGTTAACCCCTTGCTTTACAACATCGAGTCACACTCGTAGCACTAAATTATGCTCAAGATACGACAGAAGCAGATCGTACTTGTAATAAAGTTTACATTTCAGCTGTAACTTTAATTTTAACTCGTAAGATCGTCAGATTAGCAACTGCAAATTATGTATAATATTCCTAGCTTTTTCTGCGAATAGCTAACATTAGCACTGCGATGTAGCGAAGATATTAACTATTTGAATTTAGAAAATTGAAGACTGATTAGAGTAATTTTACTGGAATTCTGAGTTCAAGGTGAAAGAAGTTTTTGAACATTGAAAAAATAACATTTCACATCTAGTAAATTTTTGATAAATTTCAAATATTTTAGTAAATACTTTTTCCGTTTTATTGTAAAATAAGGAAAATGAAGATTGCGTAATTTATCAATTATAATGAATTTTCTACATTAAGAGAAGTAAAAGGAGCAAAGAAAAGGAATTTTTCATTGATCGTATTTGTTTATGAAGCAAAGAATTTCAGTTCAAGGTGAAAGAAATTTCTGTATATCGAAAAGATAAGATTTTTGATAAATTTCAAGTATTTGAATATTTTTCTAGTTTTATCGTAAAATAAGGGAAATGTAGATTGCATAATTTGTCAGTTGTGATTAATCTTCTAAACGATAAGAAACGAGAATTTTGCATTTGTTGTATATGTTGCTTGCAGAGCAAAGGTAAATATTTCATTTATTAAAACAATCTTCAATCTTCGTTTTTGTGATAAAGTTAACCGACTGGGTGGAAGTTGCGAAAAAATAACGATTTTACGATACCTACTCCTGCTGGAACAAGTCCTTTTACTGAAAATATCTTTACTATCATTTTGAACAGCGCTGGCAAAGTGAATTAACTATACACCTTCAAGTTTGTTTCCCTTTATTTTCGAATAAGCAAGAAATACGATATCTCGTCGAAATATTCATTTTCAACTGATCGAAACGGGGCGAAATGATTATTTAAAATACTTTTGTATTTTAAATTTACAAAACTCTGATATTTGAGATATTTAAACTATAATTTATGGTATTTAAGATTCTCTTTATGAGATATTTCAGTTGTAAATTTATAACACTTTGATATTTGAGATATTTAAAATATAATTTATGACATTTAAGACACTTAGAATTATAAATTTTCTTTATGACATATTTTAATTTGAAATTTATGATACTTTCATATTTGAGATATTTGATCTCTAATTTATGATATTTCAGATATTTGGAATTATAAATTTTCCTTACGAGATATTTGAATTTTAAACTTATGATATTTTCATATTCGAGATACCTGAGCTGTAATATAATTTATCACATTTAAGATATTTAGAATACTGAATTTTCTCTATGATATATTTAAATTTCAAATTTATGAAACTTTGATATTTGAGATATTTCAGCTACAATTTCTCATATTTAAGACACTTAGAACACTAAATCTTCTTTCTAAGATATTTAACTTCAACTCGAAACAACAATCTCCACTTTTCCACGGATTAATAATCCGCACCCCTTTCAATTTCAAATTGCATTAAAACAAATAAATTATTATTAAATTCTCTCGTCCAACAGAACCGATTGAAAAACACTCGAACGTTGTCGTTCGTAAGCAGTTCCAACATAAAAGCATCTTCGTTACCGGAGCTTTCCAACGAAACCAAGCAAGATCTGAATAAAACCGTGCCTGCATTCGTAGATTAAATTGGCATTAATGGTCGCGATTAATTCAGGCTCGAGTACCGAGAGGCTATCACCAGCTATCTTTGAGAGAGAGAGAGAGAGAAAGAGAAATAAAGGAACTTCCGGCGAAGAAGAATTCTTCCGTGACAAATTGGATGTGGTTAAGAGGCAGAAAGTTTTTCGAACTTCTTAATTCGTCCGATAGTTTCGAAGGGAAAGGACTTCACCTCTCTTGTTTTAATTCACCTTGCTACGTGGTTCGATGAAAACCTGACTATTATTTTCATCAATCTTATTATACGATATTTACTTCTCAGCGTGTTTTTTATCTCTTCTTCTCTATTTTTGTCTTCTTCTTTTTCGCCCTCGAGGAAAAGTGAATTTGATGTATCGGAAGAAACGCGGTATTATTGAATTTTTTACGTGGAGCAATTTTGAATCGGTCCACGTTGCCTCTCGAGCAGATGAAGACAGTCCCCGAGGAGATGTTACGTGGTTTCAGGAAGCAATATGATGATGGAAATAAAATTTTTTTTGAAGGTTACGTTCGATATTTTCCTGAGTGGATACTTCCACTTTTTTCTTTCAAGATTGCTGGAGAATGACGGAGTGGAATTTTAGGTAGTGTTTTATTTATTGCTGTTCGCAAAACTTTGGGAATGTATATCTTCCGAAATTTTCCAATGTAATTCGAATCGTTTGGATTTAAATTAAAGGCGAAATTGAACATTTCAATTTTCGCTGATTTTTAGACTTCCAATTTCAGCGTGACTTGAAATTTTCAATTCGATTTCAAGCTTAATCTATATTTGAGCTTCGTTTTAAGTTGCAACCTGGAGATTAAACTTAAACGCGAAGTTTCGAATTCTGCAATAAGTGAAATTTCATTTCTATCGAAGGAAAACTTGCAAACTTCTAATTACATTTCTTTGCGCTGAATTTCAACGTGTGATGAAGACTCTCGAGTGCCATAATTGCCAAATCTTAAAATCCATCGATAAGTTTTCTGAGGTTTTCTGTCTGATGCTAAAACTGTAAATTTGTAAAATTGCAAATTTGTAAAATTGTAAAACTGCAAATTTGTAAATTTGTAAAATTGCAAATTTGTAAATTTGTAAAATTGTAACTTTGTAAAATTGTAAAATTATCAATTTCGATTAGCTCCTAGTGATTTTATTTCGAATAAATCGCGCGCGTTATAATCACGGAAAGGAAACGCAACGGCGTTAAATTCGCTGGAAATTCGCCGTTCGAACGTGTTTGCCTAAAATCGTTGCGCTCAGGTTACTCAGTCGTACGTTTTATCTACGACAGAACAGGTAATTGTAAGGTAGATATGCAAATTTCCAAGATTCTCCTCTATCTACGGGCAAACGGTTTCGCATCGCGGGCCTAACTTCAGTTTATCCTTAACACTTTGAAGATCACACCAGGCGAACACCGTCTTGTTAGAAATTCATAAATTCGTTAACATCTCGGCTGAGTTAATGTTTAAAAATGATGTCAAGCGTGAGATGAAATTTGGCGCTTAATCGAGTGAACGTGAAAAGTGATCATTAGACTAGAGAAAGAACACTTTTCCTACGATCTTTTTACTTTGTTAATATCTACTTGAAAAATTCCACACATTTTCTATTTATATATTCATTTTCTCATCCGCGCGTTACGGATTTTAGATATAATTTTTGCGATACTGTTGGACGATTTAAAAGGTAGTTTTTAATGTACGATGCATAGAAATTTTTGATTTATACGTATTACCTACACTTTTATGGAAAATAGAACGTTGATAGTTTGTTCTTAGAACGATTTAACTAGTGCAATTTTCAGTTTGCTATTTTTTCTCATATTTTAGAAAAATATAATTCACACACTCGATTATTGGCAATAATTCTCGAATTAATAACTACAAATTAATCATTCTTACGATAACTAAAAAGAAGAAAATACTTCAAAATTTTTCCAACAAATATATATTATTTATATTTTCTTATTTGGTAAAAGAAACCCAAATCCCAACAAAATTTACCTGTATATTCTCCATAATTCCTTACTTGATAAATAAAAAAAACATTATGTGTAACTACAAAAGAAATGAATATTTTCAGCACTTGCAAACAAGCTTCCAAAAATAGTGAAAAGATATTTTCAACATTTTCGTCTGCTGTACGGTAAAAACCGTTTCACGTACAACGATATTCCAGCCATCGTGCGACATAAAAACCATAAAATAACGTAAAACCAGGTGTGGAAGTGTCCGAACGCATCGTGGATCTCGCAGCAAGAAGTTTCGCGATGCGATGGATAACGCGCTGCTGGTCTGTTTATTATCTGTACATGCATAGTCGCAAAGAATTTTACATTAATACACCATTGTTCTTCCTGCAATTTCTTCTTCTTTTGTCCTTTTTTAATGACACGACGAAATTTTGTTCTGTTTCAGGGGTACGAGGGGTCCCTGCTGAAAGTCACAAGCAAAAATGGGAAAACAGCGTCGGTGAGTCATTACTTTTTCAAATTACCGGTCATATTTCACGGTATCTCTTGGCGTATGGCTGTTCGTGTTAAAAAAGTAGGGGAAAAAAAAGGACCACACGTTTCATGTGCTTTTAACGCGAACGACGGATTCGTCCTAGATTTTCGCCTAGCTATTTTCGGTAGTTTACGGTAATATCTCTCACGCTGTCGCCCTGGTCGGAACCGAAAGGCGTCGGTTTGAGTAAAGGAGACACGGTTTTCGAGGATCGCTGCCCGCCTTTGTTTGAGAATTTTCAAAACAGAGAATGATTTGGTCCCGTGTCTATCGGTGACGAACGAAGTGAGACGAGGCAATCGTTATTTTATAGAAGAGATAAAGAAGCTGGGATTGAGTCCGGTGCATCGTGAAATTTCACACAGTGACTGTAGTAAATTTACTATAACTAGTCTAACTTTAAATAATATAAGAATGCAGTTTTTTTTATCCTTGGAAAAATGGGGAGTGGTTAGGGTGATTCGTCGTTAGATTTTTCCAAGTCAAGATGCATTCCTCGCGACTAATGTTTAAGATGGGTGACCGCCAACGTTCGAAGAACAAAATTGATATTTTTAATTTATTATATGTATTAAAAATGGTGGGGGGGACACGCTGTATATTTAGGTGATGGAGAAAGGACGAACGAATAAAAATTCGGTAGGATCCTTTCTGTGAATACACCGATTTCCTTTTACGATTTCACAGATTTTTCCATCAATCGATTTGGGAAACAGATGGATAAAGTGTCGAGATTTTTCTTGCGGTTATAAACAGATGGGAAAACTTACGCGAACGAGAAGTTTCAATCATATTCGAGAGAGAGAGAGAGAAAAGTGGTTCATCTATTTTCGAGAATAATTTTCTTTTTTTTTTCAAGTCTTTTCTTTTACCGTCTTTTGTTCGTGTTTCGTCGAAACATAGAAACGCGCTTCGAAACCAGGAATAATGTGTGGATATTTTTGAGAATTTTCGTTCTGTGTCCTTTGACGATTTCTCGCGCGTAACCATTGTCTTCGCTTTTTTCTGTGCGCCCAAAAAAAGAAATTCCACGATTTATAGCATCACAGACTTTCGTTAATATATTCCAAAATATCTTTCTTTTTAAAAATTTTTTTCTTTCTGTTCGATACGCGCGATTAATTCTTCCTGCAATCTAATTCGAATTATCAAGTGTGACCTAGTTTTCTTTTTCCCAAAGTACATTTTTCCAACAGATTTTCAATTTTGTTTAAACTGGAAAAAGATAGAAGAGCCTCTTTTTAGCTTAGGGAATAAAAGATAATTTAACCGAGTTCTCTTCAAGTAAAAACTGGTCGTCTAGGAATTATTACAAGGCTCGCTGGAAACGCGCTCGTTTACGCGATAACGCATGAACTAGTTGACGAAAAATCATGTTACAATGCAATTGCGTGACTAGCGTAATCGCGTTAGTCGCATTTTGTAAATTGTTGCATTGCGTTACGCCTTGAAAAATGTAAATATTATTCGTTCGTGTTAATATAATTAACCGTATCATGCTAGGTTACCATAAATGCGGACTGTTCGTCAATGTTGTTTAACGTAATACTATATTGGATTTACAACAACGCGAGCATGGAGGACGTTTTAACTGCGTATCGCGTTCTACTCTTGATCCGTACCAAAGCAAATATTATTTTCTGATATTTTCACAGTTGCTGAGTTGGATTCACTTATTGCCTGTAAATAGTCGGTTGAAATAGTTGTTTGCCCAACGTGTCTTTTATTGAGTTTGTACTTCTCGTAACGATGCAACGTAAACTGAATCGAGTATACGTAAAGCGAACAAGTTTACGTTTGGTTGGAACTTTTTTCAAAAAAATTCCTAGGCGAATATTTCAAAGAATTTTTGAATTTTTGAATTTACGTTTTTTGTAGAAAAATTCCTCATTAACCCCTTAACACTTTACCGACCGGTAGCGGTTGAACATTCTACATATTTTCGACCGGTCACTCGGCCACAGATACATCGGTAACACCGGCTCTGTTTAGACTCTAGACTATTGCGCGGGAATATACGCGCTTTTTCTTATACCTGCAGAAATGTTAAATCAAACTTTGACCGGTTAATAGGCTATCGGTCGGTAAGCGTCGGCGAAAAAAAAAATCGATTAATAGGCTACCGGTCGGTAAGCGTTGGCGGCAAAAAGCCGATTAATAGGCTACCGGTCGGTAAAGTGTTAACCTATGACAACGTGTCAGACTCGCGGCAGAGATTCTAGTCAAGAGGCGACAAAAATAATTATATCAGTAAGAAAACTTAATTATAATCCTAACTTTTGTTTAAATTTCTAAGACTAAAGATAACTAAACGTAATTAATCTGTAACAGATTAGCTTTCGTTACCCGATCCAGTACTAAAGCATTAAATGGCTGACGCTTAGATGCACGGTAAGAAAAGAAATCATACTTTAAGGGGCTAAAAATTACATTCATATCAATAGTAAGAAAAGAAATCATACTCTAAGGGGCTAAAAAATGACATTCGTATCGATAGAAACAGAAGTAGGTATAAATACAGAAAACAAAGTGAGAAAGTTACAAACGACAACACTTGCCCAACTATCAACCGTTCACTTTTTTCGAAAAGTTACTAATGGTTCGTTCTAACCCGGGTCGGTCTCTCTACTATCAACAAAACCAGCTAGTACTTAAATTAGCCAACAAAAAGTAACGAAGCTCGTGTCGCGACGCTGCATGTTACGTGAGTCACGTAACGCGGGAAAACCGCCTAATCGATTCGAGTGCAAAAAAATACATCAATTTTATACCTCCGCGGAAGGCATCGTGGCAGTCAGGCCAGATATATAATGCCCTAGCTGAGATAACATTAATTTATGCGCTGCCAGTGAAACACACGCGTTACACGCGACACAACGCCACCGCCGGTGTTAACGTTGGAAAATCTTTCACTCCGTTGAAGCATTAAGCGTTTTCTACCCTCGTTTATATACACACATGTGCGAGAGTGTAACGTGAGTGTGTGTGTCAGCTTTGCGAGAGGCTACACACGCGGGGTCTGGCCTTTACCCGTTGTCCCAAGCATTCTAAAATAACGCGATTGAGGGATGATAGGTGTATGCCATCGATCGAGAAAGGAATGCATTTTCGCTCGAAGGATGCCGGATGACGTCACTCTCTGGGGGGGCGAATTTGATCGGAGGCTTGAATGGCCGTTCGTTCGATGGATCGACCTCGTTTCCACGAGACTGTCGCGTGAAAATACGCGCGATTGGAAATTCAAGCTGCGCGCCGCGACGCGCCGGGGTCTGACAAGTGGCGAAAAATCACGTGGAACAGCGAGGCCGATTAAAGGACTGCGCGCAAGGTTCCGAGGTGTGTGTGCTATCTTGTAAATTGATAGGACGGTGGTATTAAAAATTCAAGTGGACATCTAAGACGTGGAAAAATGGGTTGAGAAAGTTGAACGGTGTAAGTTGTTGGAGGACAGGTGGAAGAGAAAACTCCCTTTAACGTAACCTTTACAGTTTAAAGCATCGGTGTCCAATCTTTTGGCTCGCTCGACTCGTACGAAGTTCTGTAGTTAATGTATATATGTTAGATATAATATAAAGATTGTTATTAGATGCGTATTCGTTGAAGCTTCTGGGATAAGTCTCATGTCGTCTCTCACGATCCTCTTGCCAGAAAAAGCCGCATTTTCCCCACTCTGTGGCCAGATCCTTCGAGAACACCCTTAACACTTTACACGCACCATGCAGCACCATGACTTCGAGTCATCGGCCACACGCCCGTACCTTTGAGATCGGCAGCCGAACTCTCTATCGCCGATTCGTAAACAGAAGATCCGCGATCCTTAGAAGTCGCCGCATCTCCTCTATAGAGGACTGGACGCTAACATATATTTCACAAAATTTTCTTTATTTTTTTGTGTTTTACACACGAGTCGTGAAAAATATCGCTGAAAAGCAGATAGTAATGTGTGGCGATCTTGCGGGGCCGCGTTAGGGCTGCTCTGGGCCTCGTGCGGCCCGCGGGCTGTGAGTTGGGCACGCCTGCTTTGGAGCTTCTCAAGCTTTATCTACGTCACTACAGTATAAGTATATCAGAAGAATTTTATTTATATTAAATTGCCATATATATATCATTTATATCGATGCTGTTTATTTTAAGTCGCATCAATCTCTAAATTGGGCTACTAGCGACTATAGCAAAGATATTCACAGTTTTTGAAGAAAATTGGAATTTTTTAGAAATCTCAGTAGCCGTTGCATCTTTTCTTCTTTCCTCGGTCAAATGTTTACGCACACAGGAGTCGATTTCGCAATTTCCTCTTGAAACAGAGAAGAAGAGTTGTATTTTTTAGAAATCTCAGTAGCTGTGGTATCTTTTCTTCTTGTCAGTGAAATTTTGACGCATGCAGGAATCGATCTCGCAATTTCTTCTTTCGCCGAGAATTCTAAGAATTTGGTGCAGGAGAGGATAAGACGATCGATGGCTGTGATTGATGTTTAATGTGGCGTTGGACGTATCACAAGTTGGAATGTCTGCCTTGTCCAGTAGTTACTCACGAGTGGGTTATTTTAGCGTGGCCAATTCTGATACGCGAGTATCGGAAGAATCAACGCGCATTAATGGCATGTTCTTCATTTTTATTTTTTTCTCTTTCGGAGTAAATTTTTATATACTCGATTGCTTATCACCCTGGTTTGCACATAAAATTTGCACAGTATTATTTCATAAAACCCTTCGAATAATAATAAACTCATCATGTTTCATGAACGACGACTCATTGAGGAAAAATCTTCAAATAACATCGATGAAAAAATAAAATTGCAAACTGCACTAGTAAATATACAAATAGACAGCTGAACAAGAAAAATCAGGTTAAAAATGATTTTACGAATATACGAGAATTAATCCATTAACGCTTTATTAAAAGTATTGTTAATAAAATTGAAACATGCAGAAGCATTCCTGTTTCCCTGTTTATTCAGTAAACA